TATTTACTACAAAGCTGTCATGGCTATCTATATCTACAAAATGGTCAAACTGAACCAATGTTGAGTCATTCATGCACTGGCTTGATTTAACATATCGCATAACAAGTTTTATTCAACACGCATAAAAATTTTTATCCTGCATTACTAGTCCACAAAAGTCTTTATATTAAGATCTAATAAATTAATGTAAATATGAATGGTCATTCGTTCACCAATACCTATGCAACTTTGCACACCCATCTAAAACCGAATACCTATAGTTAAATAAATTGCTGCCGCAAGTCCTCCTTAACCATGTCTATTAACAACCCCACGAAGCAACTCGAAAAAAAGAAGAAGAAATAACTCCTTTTTTTCCATAATAACCCATATCATAAACAACACAACTCAACACCTTCTCAAGCAACATTCAAAGGCATGGATGAAGAGGAAATAAGAAGGAACAAGACAACCACCGAACTCTTGTTCCAACCACCAATCGACCATGACAAGTTATGAACTAACCTGCATCTTCCATCCATTTGTCAAGCCTTTCATATCTAAAAAAATGATTATAATCATTTATGTAGAATATTCCATACATAATAAGAGTTACGATTATCCGCATAGATAAATCGTACAATTGGTGGTACTTGGCATGCCCGTGCTGCAAAAAATATGCAATAAAAAACGGATGGACCTTTTCATGTCTGTCCCATGTGCAAACACAACTAATTTTGCAATCAGCTTCCTTTCTAATCGCTTTTGCGTGTTTTGCTATATATGCTGCTGCTGTAATGCCTCTATCAAATGTATGCCAGCAACTAATCCTATTCTTCATCTCATTTCATTTTTTTTGTTATAGATATCACATGATCTGCACAATAAGTGATGGTCGAACTGAAGCTAGAATGTTGATTGCTGGAACTATTGTTGCTACATGCTTTGGCTATAGTTGCCAGCAACTGGTTCAGAATTATAGATGGACTGACAGAGGTCATGTACTGCATCCATTGAACAATACCATTGGTCAACATCAGATTTTTCGCATTCGGTGTAACACCTACTTCAGGTCAATACTAGAACACCATTTCATTGCTATTACAGTCTATCATGAAGTTGATCATGTCCCACAGCAACCAAATTTGCTTCCTTATGACGTCTAAAAAATATATTATAAGGGATAAAGAAGTAGACCATAATTAATTAGCCGTTTCATTTTGTGCATTTGCTTATATATTTAGTTCCAGAAAATATGAGTTTTTCTTAAATATGTTCCCTTCGCCAACATGCATTATAGCACTTGCTGAATCCTTGCATTTGCTTAAATAAATGTCTTTATATTTACATTTCCTATGCGTACTTTGTGTTTACATGCCTCTTTCTTTCATTCCTCGCTTCATCTACGACTGCTTCTGTTAATATTCTTTGGCGGTTCAAAACATCATCACAGTAAGTATGTACCTACACAATACTGATATTTGTGATTATCATATAAACAACTCAATGCATTAAAAACAAATCATTACTCTTGCAATCCATAACACACTCTAAGAAACCACTTAAGTGTTTTACCAATAACATAAAAAAATAATTAAAAAAACAAACTCTGCAAGGTAACGCAAGTCTTTAACTAGTTTCATACTATAAATGCCAAAGTAACTATGCGTTTTAAGAGAGAGAGAGCATAAAGCACGTCCTAATTTGTATGTATAATTATTAGACGTACATCCCGAAATTATTGTAATGCAGGGCCACGCAAAGGCAATTAGGGGTAGATCTGAACCCAATAATGTTCATTATTGCCTCTGTACCTCCATTAGATGAAAGACCCTCCATTAGATGAAAGGGCAAGACCCAGAGCATATCCAATGATGTTTTTTTATTTTTAGTAAATATTTTTAATATAAATAGAGAGCACCATTAATTATAAAGATTGAAAATTAATTTTCTCTCCAATGCTACTCTCTACTTTAACTCTTTATTTTGACAAAATTCATAAAACATTTAATTCTGAAATTTTCTCTCATTTTCTCTCTGTTAATTTCCTAAAGAAACTGTTGATGAAGATACTGAGTGGCATAAGAAATAGTCATCTTCATTAATGAAAATTAAGATAAAGAAAAAGTCATTTGGATTCCGTAGTATTGGAGAGCCAAAGACACTCTCTATCTCACTTTTAAAGATAGAGATTGTGATAAAGAGAGTATTAGAAATGAAATTTGGGTCAAACCATTTTATTATAAAGAAAAATCTTAATATAAAGAAAGCATTGGAAATAATCTAACATTAGCTATTTCGATTTGTCAAATCTCATATTGGACCTTTAACTTCTCAAGTTTTAAACTTCTCCTATCTTATAGGCAGACTTCTCAAATCTCATATTAGACATTTAACTTTAACTCTTTAGATTTGTCACCATCGAAATTTTGGTTCAAATCAATTCAAACCTATTTAGCATATTAAAACTTCCTTATTGAAAGTAAATTCATATACAGTAGATTTTAGTAAATTATAAACTTATCCCTCTAGTTTTCAAAAGGAATGGAATAGTCCATTTGGTTTCAATGATTAATTAATTAGCCTCTATCTTTTTTAAATCTATTTATAATTCAATTCTTATAACTTTTTTAAAAAATTTAAAAAAAATAAAAAAAATAATATGAAAGATTAATGAGTAAATAAAACATTTTATAGAATAAAATAATACTAAATTAATCATGGTTAGCAATGATCAAATAATTAATTTTTTGAAAAAACAAGACTACTCATTTAGTTTTGTAAAAAAACTTTCTCCAGTAAATTTGTATTACAACAAGTGAATATTTAATATTTTAATTCTATCATAAGATGATGCAATTTTACATGTCATTTGGCATCTAAGAAAATTGAAGTGATCACAACTAACATTAATTTGTAGTAAGACCTAGCATATAGAATCCGAAGTTCTATTATTTTTTTAATGCACTTTTTATGAACAAATGAAATTTGATAGTGAGCTATCATTGGATGTTCTCTCTTAGTGGAAGAAGAATTGATTTGCATTTCTTGAACTTTCACTTATAGCAAGGGACAAATTAAATATTTTGATAAGAAATGTTGCTTCATAATCAACTTTTTGCATTGAGGGGGTAGAGTTTTAACTTAACGACAAGCCTTTTTTAGCTTGATAGCTACTTATAATTGGCTTGTTTGGATATGATGATATGATAAACTTTTCAATTTTATGTTTTTTTTTTTTTAACTTTCACAAAGCTTTTCTTAATACTAAAAATGAATAATTTTTCACTGATTAGATCAATAATATAGTTATAATTTTAATGGGTTTTGTCTCAAATTAAGTAATCATGTAATGTAAATAAAGACAATGAGACTCAAAAAACTGTAGGATTAGAGGAGGATCCAAATGAACAGGCATCACTTATTATTATTATCGATTTCATATGAATTATCTCACTTAAACAGGAATCATTTTATTTACGTTTCCATTGTGATAAATATACTTTCCTCCTTGCAATAAAACTAATTTATAATTGTTTTATGGTGTTAAAATATGGTTGCTTTCTTTAATTGTTTTAGTATCTTGTGTTTTACTTTTGCTACGTTTTTATATTGTGAGAATGTTTTTATTATATACGAATATTTATATTTAGTTAATCATCATATAGAGTTTTATGAGGTGTTTACAATTCAAACATGTGTCTAAGTAATATCTGATAAAAATAGTTGAACTCACTATATATTTTATAAGAAAAAAGAAAAAGAACTATCGAACCTATGGACTGGTCTAAGTCCGTCCAAATCCAATGGATTAAAGTTTAGGATCAAATACATGCTAAACGAAACGAACCTAATTCAAACCCACCCAACCCAACACAACCCAATTGCTAGGCCTACCATACTTTCATGTGTTTGACGAGTTCATCCCCGTCAATTTCCTTAACATAAAATCAAACTGATTAAACCATCTTTTATGGATAAAAAATGCTACAATATTATATTTTAAAGTACGCAACTTTGAAAAAAAGTGTAAGTTAAACCTTTTTATCGTGTTAAATTGGCAATGCATTTGGTGCCAGTTCTCTCAATTCAACGGATTTGTTCATCTTGTTCTGAATAGCATAACTATCATGGCTGAAAAAATTTGTCTTCAAATGAAGAAACAATTAAAAGTAATTTAATTAATGAGAAGAAGGTGGCAATTTCAACTGTTAGCTGGCTTTTAGAAATAAAAATCCCAAATTGATATCTTAGCATCACTTGTTAGAAGGCCGTTGGAAGTTGAAACTCATGCACGTAGAAGGAGCTCAATGGAAATGATGGCAATCTACTACAGCTAGTGGCTTTCCTCGCGACCATACCAGGTCGGTGGAGAACAACGATTTTCTTGCCCATATATATATATATATGTATGTATGTATATGGTTTGCCAACCATGGGATAGTTGGCAATAAAGCAAGGGCTTGAACTAACAGAAAATTAAGCTATGAAAAGTTGGAAGTCAGATTCAAAAGAGTCCATTCCACGTGCTTAAAATGGATCCTGTGAAATCAGACCTCCATTACAGCCTCCTGTCTCGTCGACATTAGAAGACGCATAAACTCAGGCTAAGTGTGTGTAAGGAAAACCAATGTATCACTTGCTACTTTTATAATTTCTTGTTTATTATATTTTTTTGATGATAAAGATATGTTCAGATTGATTTATGTTTGAAAATACATCTATAATGATAAAAACAACTCATCAGTCCGACCAATAACCTATTGACTAGTAGCTTGATAGGAGCACTGTTAGAATTTAATCGTAAATAATTCTTTTTTATAATGCTAAAATAAGTTCAACACCTCAAATTTCTTTTTTAATTGAATCTCAAATTTATTTCTAAGTATATATATAAAAAACAATAGTTGAGGAGATAGGTTAAACAACAGTTTAGAATGGATCACCCGACCAAACGAAAGAAAACGCAACAAAAATAAAAGAAGACCTTCGTTGATCTTCTACTTGTCAATCTATTCACAATGGAAAACACGTTTCTCCTTGTAATTTTCTCCCTACTCACCTCTCTGTTGACCGTTATCTTAACAATCACGTCCCACAAGATAATTAATGGTAGAAGGACCAGGCAAAGGGCAGTCGGTTTCTTCCATCCATACACAAACGATGGTGGAGGTGGAGAAAGAGTGTTATGGTGTGCCGTTAAAGCAATTCAAGAAGAAAGTCCTGATCTTGACTGTGTTATTTGCACAGGAGACCATGATTCCACTTCAGAAAGCTTGATGACTCGTGCCCTTGATCGATTTGGTGTTCAATTACTTGCCCCACCAAAGGTACCGACTTCAAATTTCTGATAGAACCCTTTATTTATTACATAAAAACTTACCCTGAGTTGCTTTTAATTTTTATATTTTCTGTTTGTTTGATAAAAACCTTTATTTATAAGATGAAAACTTAACGTGGGCTGGTTTTAATTTCTGTTAATTTTGTTTGTTGTTTGTAATGGGATGCTGTAGGTGGTGCATTTGTATAAAAGGAAATGGATTGAAGAAACTAGCTATCCTCGGTTTACTATGATTGGCCAAAGCTTTGGTTCAGTTTATTTAAGTTGGGAAGCTTTGTGCAAGTTTACTCCTTTGTATTTTTTTGATACTAGTGGATATGCTTTCACATACCCAGTTGCTAGATTGTTTGGTTGCAAAGTTATTTGCTACACGCATTACCCTACAATCAGTTTGGATATGATTTCTCGTGTTCGCGATCGGAGCTCCATGTACAACAACGATGCTTCAATTGCCAGGAGGTAAGGTTCCTGTTCAAATTAAAATTGGGATCCATTTATTCTTATGCTTGTTTAGAGAATGCTTTTAAGGTTTGCTTAAAGCACTGTTTACCCAAGTGTATTATCAAATCAAATGCTTGTTTTGAAGGCTTTCTCTGTACCTTTAAGGTTTTTTTTTTTTTTTTAATTATTATTTTTATGATCAATGAAGAGGTTGTTGTTTTCGGTGTAAGTGAGGCAGAGACTTGCTAACATTTAGCATTTCTTTTTCAAAAACTTGATCAAGGAAAACAAGTACATGGACCTTAACTGAAAATGGGATTTGGGTCTGGTTGCTGTTAAGTAATGATCTTATAGCTATGTATGGAAAATGTGGCAGACTGGTTGTTGACTTGTTTGCTGCAGTGCTTGGTAGAAATGTTGTTTCAGTGACAGTGAAGCAGAAAGAATTTCAGTGAAATGGCCATGCTAAATTTGATTTCGTGGACAGTTATGATGCCTGGCTATGGAAAGCATGGTCTGGGTAACAGGGCAATTCGTCTCTTTGACAAATTGCTATTAGATAGTACTGGGCTTGGTGTGATTTACTTGGTTGTGCTTTTAGCCTGTAGCCATTTAGGACTTGTTGAAACAGGTAAAGAATGCCTCTCAAGGTTATGTAGTGACCATAGGATCAGTGCTAGGGTAGAGCATTATGCATTCATTGGTGACCAATCCAGGTGCTTAAGTACGAATCTCATTGACCTACATGCCTTGAAAGCTGAATACGGGGATATGGCAGACATTGCTAACCACTTGTAATGGAGACTTGGAATTACGGAGATTTTGAGATTACGCAGTGGTAAATAAGTTAACTGTGTGGTGTGTCCAATGTTTACTATTGGAATGATGTGAGAGAATGAGGGAATTGGTGAGGAAAAAGAGGTTCATGAAAGATGCAGGACATAGTTTGGTAGAGATTGACAAGGATTCTGTTCTGCCCCAACACAGCGTAATATTTTACTTATCAAGATTCTAGTTGGATACTCCACACTTCAGTTCATGGCCATCAAGGAAGCTTTAAGTTGGGGCAAGGTGCAAGGGTTCGCTAAATTTGCGTTAGATACAGATTGTTTGGAGCTAATTCAGACATTCTTACTTTTGGATATGGAAGTTATTCTGCACGATGATTTACAGCTTCACAGGAAGTTCAAGTGGCCTTGTTTCAATATATTCATAGAACTTGTGATAAGCTCATTTCTTGGCTAGGAAGCTAGCTTGTGTGCAGTTGATGACATTTTGGATTCTAGTCCTTTTTGTATTCTTAATGTTCTGTTGATATGACTACACGCTGGTATCTGATGGAAATTTTTTTCTTTTGTCAATGAATCCGTTAGTTGTATTGGCCGAAAAGGAAAAACGATAATAAGCAAAGCTTTTCTCTCAAGAACCTTTTTTTTTATTGAAACAAAATGGAAAACTTTTGGGCTTTGTTGGTCTTCTAGATTTATGTTCAGGCTACTTTATATACCAGTGTCCTTATTTTTTTCTTGTCGCAGTGGTTGGCTATCACGGTGCAAGATCGTCTACTATACATTTTTTAGTTGGATGTATGGATTTGCAGGCTCCTGTGCACACCTCGCAATGGTGAACTCTTCATGGACTCAATCTCATATTGAAAAACTCTGGAGAATTCCAAACCATATTAAGCGAGTATATCCTCCTTGTGATACATCAGGGCTTCAGGTTCGTTATCTTGTGTCATTGCTCCTCTCATGTCAATATCTTCATCACTTGGAGCTCTAAAAAATTGAAGTCCAAACAGGTGCTTCCTTTGGAAAGACCAGCAGAAACTCCTATATTTATATCTGTGGCTCAGTTTCGTCCTGAGAAGGTGGGCATACTTACATAAAACTTGTGAGCACAAGGTACTGCAGTTTTAGTGGCTCATTCCTGGGGCCTTTATGGGCTCATACTAATCTTTTATAGCTTGTGTTTCATGTCTCAGGCACACCCTCTTCAACTTGAGGCCTTTTCAGTTGCCATTAGGAGGTTAGATGCAGACATGCCGAGACCTGTGCTTCAGTTTGTTGGTAGTTGCCGAAACAAATTTGACGAGGACAGACTGCAGAAATTGCAGGACAAAGCAGTTGAATTGAAGGTAGATGGGGATGTACAATTCTACAAGAATGTGATGTATAGGTTGGTGCAAGCATTTTATAATATTGCTCTTTTCTATGTGAAAGGTGAAGAGCTTAATATGAGTGTGTGCACATGTGTGTGTGTGTGTGTGTGTGTGTGTTGGCAAGTGCACGTGCACACACACACACACACACACACACTCATCATTGTATTGTGTGTGTATATTGTATTTTATTAACATTTATTCTTAAAAATGAAAAAACAGTGGAAGGATGTGATGTGGAGCATACATTTCATATGTGGAAGAAGATGATTAATCATGCCCTGTTCTGGTTTAGCTTGTTGATCAATTTGATATTTATTTTAGTGGCGCAATGGTAAAAAATGGCGTTCATTAGATTTTCTTTGATTTTGTATGATCCATGCTGTGATTCTGACCATGCCTGAGTATTCTTGCATCACACTATCACCAATTTGATACGAGATTTTGTTTGGCTGAGGAATTGCAAGTTGTGCCTCACTGCTGAATTATCATCTAACCCTTTGTTTTGAGGGAGAAAGTGTTGCTTGGTCAAGAGATCTGTGGAGGTGATGAAATAATTTAAAAGAGGATACTGTGCTAATTAATACAGTGAGTCATTAAGTTTAAGAATTTCTTTTGTGGTCAGTGATTTGTAGTTGATTGCCCCCGCGTTAAATTTCAGGTTGCTTTAAGTTCTATTACCAGTTTCTTTATCTGGAGTTCATTAGGCTCAGTTAGCTTTATCCTAATAAGGGTACATGCCCTTTCTTTCCCCTTAGGTGTTTCTTGTGTACATACTGTCTTTGGGTTCTTTTTGGGGCATATTTTCTCACGAATTCATCATATATTGAGAAGGCCTTCTATTGCATTCAGTTTTTACTTGAATAAATAGAAAGGGAAGAAAACCCTAGTGTTTGGGTCCATGTCTGCACCTCTTAACCTTGGGAATTTACAGGGACTTGGTGAAACTTTTGGGAGGTTCTATAGCAGGAATGCATTCTATGGTAGATGAACACTTTGGCATTAGTGTTGTGGAGTATATGGCTGCAGGTGCCATACCAATTGGTGAGCATTTCTATTATTTTTCATTTAAATGTGGATACTTATCTTTTCAGTTTTCTCGAGAATGCTTCGGATGAAATTACATGGATGTTCTAACTTTCCTCTCTTCAGCTCATAATTCTGCTGGGCCAAAAATGGATATCGTTCTAGAAGAAGATGGACAGCAAACAGGATTTCTTGCCCAGAATGTAGAAGGTTATGCAGATGCCATCCTCAAAGTTTTAAGCATGCCAGAAACTGAGAGACTCGAGATGGCTGTGGCTGCAAGGAAACGCGCAGGCCGATTTTCTGAGCAAAGATTTTATGAAGATTTCAAAGCTGCAATTCGACCAATATTAAACCATGTTTCCAGATGATGGATTAGCACAGCTATAGCAAATTTCTAACTATAGAACAGAGGAGTATAGCTAGTGTTAAATGAACTCTTATTTGCAGCCACAACCATTCAGAGTTAACAATGGCTTGTTGCACCAACATTGTAAAATTTTGGATTGAAAACTTTCTAGCACGTGGCAAGTTCAATGGAGGAATGGCATCTTCTGAAGGATTATAGAATCCTTAGCCAGAGTTTTTTGTCAATTTGTCAACGCTAGAAAATTTTTTCAGGCGTGATGTTTTAAGATTGAACTTTTTGGAAAATAAATTTTCAGAGGTGTTCCTTCTATCAGGATTGAGTGGTATGCATTTCATTGCTTGTGCTCTTGTTTCAATCCGCATATGAATTTGAGTTACAATTCCCAAGTGTTTTTGCGTTATCACTCGACTTACTTTGTTTTTCATGGATAATTTTTCAGCTTTCCGAGTGCTTTTGTAATGTTTCTTATGGCTTACAGGGAAATGCAACTTAGCATGACTTGGGTTTTGTAATATTAGGTGGTGCCATTCATGTCTTCTTTTGGACAACAGTGCTGCTCTCTGTAGGACATGTAGTCTCACTTCCATGATCTTCGTATCCTCTTAGTAAAGTTATTAAAAAGAAAAATTATTATTCTTTGTTTTGGCGTCCCCTCAAGTTTCTCTGCATATGTTCTCTACCAGGAACATTAATAGATAGCCTAAATTGGCTGCTGGTCTGGCTGCAATACTCCTGTTGCCCACCCACGTTCATCCTTTATTTACTACCATTAAGTTGAAAACGACAACTGACCTGTTAGATTTGTTATTTGGGAAAACTTCAATTTAGTCCCAAAATGTATTTACTCATTTTCAATTATCTCCCAAAAATGTAAATTTCACTATCAATCAAGTCACAAATGTTTCCTTTTGTCAATTTTGTTTTGAAGAAAATTTGACAGAAATTATGAACATTAACATTGTGGGTTTAATGTGCACATTTATGCACTAAAACAACATTGATTTAAATAAATTTTGACAAAAAATGCTGATAAACATTAACAAAAAGACTTGATTGAGAATCTTTTGAAACATATGGGATCTAATGATAAAATACATAGGCATGGGATTCAATTGAGAATGAATATATAAGTTTGGGACTAAATTGAGGTTTCCCTCTATTATTGATTTCCTATTCTGCTTCATGGATGTATGGCTGCTGCTCCTTTGTCTGAGGAACTCAGCTTGTAATAGGCGGATTTTCCCTCTTCACCATGAAAAAATTCCTTGGACGTAATATAGCATGGAGACTTGCAGCAAAATTAGGGAAAGCCTTGGCCCTAGGCAAAGAAAGTGTGCAAAAAATAGCATGGAAAGGATGAGAGAACCTTAGCTTTTTTTTTTTTTTTTTTTATCTCTTAAATCAGCAAATATATTTAGAAATAAATTGCTGTTTTTTCCCCTTCATTTTTTTCGTTCTTTTGATAATTCAATTGTCTTGAATTGTTGGCAATCTTCTACTTTTTAGCTTTCTTTATGCACTAACTTGCTTGGATCTTTGCATTCTATGCACATGCATGCAATTGTCGAGTTTAGTGATGCAATTGTCGCTTGGTTCTTTAGACAGTCTATCACTATTCATGTTTACGTACAAAGTTCGTTTTTCAATGCATGATTTCCTGTGCTATATTTTAGTGTAAAGTGTTATCCAAATATTAAATCGTTGCCTTGTATAGTTTTAATTATGCAGTGGGGACGACTGGTCCACCAAAGTTACAGATTGTCAACTTATGATCTGATTGCTATATATATATATATATATATTTTCCCTCAATTAAGCTTAAAAATATCAAAAGGAAGGTAGGACAAGCGGTCTTTACTCATCCCAACATGATATGGTTATATGATTCAGTTGCCTGAATTATTTGACAAAGACACGCCATGGTACTAATTTCTGAAACATGTAATGGAAGGACCCCTTTTTTTTTTTTGGTGCCGAAAGAAATGGCCTTGGCTGCAATGCAATATTAGATTAAAGATGATGTAATATTATGATATACACTAAATTAATCATTCTTTGTAAAATTTGAAGGCTAAGGATATATGTTTTTTTCCTTCACTTCTTGAATTTAAATTTTAAAATAAAAATTTTTTAAATTCATTGTGTCGATATAAGAATATACTAATAAAATTGTTTTAAGAGAAAATATAGTCTCGATTGACATATAAAATGATCTAAAAATATCTTTTACGATGAATCCGATTGACACGTGTCACCTTTTATAAAAGCTTGAATTACATGTATCTAACTAAATATTTCGAAGTTGTGTTTTAAAATGAAGTTCATAGTTCCTTTGAAAACTGACTGACACTTCAAAAAAAACACTAAAATTTCTACGATCTAGGATGCTTACTCCGGATGAGCATCAGTCATGTAAATAGTGGCATCGTCAAAGAATAAGTCACATAAAAAACACGAATCACCTAAGTAGACATCCAAGTCTGTCAACATTAAAAATAATAAATGGTTATGCCTGTTTTACTTTGCAACTTACCAATATCTCGCCCATATAAGAACTCTAACTACAAAAAAAAATCAAGTTTTTAATTCTACAAAACTCTTTATACTCTAAAAATAGATATTTTTCATCTTCTCTATCACACTCATGGAGATATCATGTAAAAACTTAACCGAGATCATTTTTTTTTCTTTCCGATCACTAATTAGATTGTCAAAAAACCCCTAAATCCACAAAAGAAACTTGTTTTACTAATACACAACATATAAGAAAAAGAAACACACCATCAATCTACATCGTCTACCTTCGTCAAAGAAAACCCTGTCATTTTCATTTTGATGTGAACTTCGTAAATCAATTGTTTAGGAACCCACAAACAAGATGAACAACTAATGTGAATCCTTAAATCAAATGTTTAGGAACCCATAAACAAGATGAATTATTCTCAAAAAAACTAAATTAGATTTTTAAACAAACAAACCTTAACTCAATGCCTATAAAAGAAATACGAACCAAAGGTAATAAGAAAGATATTAACGCCACATTTCAAAAAAAAAGAAAATGAGAATGATAAGTCATGTTTAGAACGTAACAAGAATTAATAAATAATTAATAAGTTATGTAGTTCTATGAAGAACTCAAGAAGATATACTCTCAATATCTCATTTTTCAATATCATGTTTCATTCTTTTTTGGAGTACATAAAAGCCGACCTTTTTACGAGGCTTTGAAACAACTAAAAGATAACAAAATTCAATATATAATAGTTAGCTAAATTAAACCAACTATGTCACCCTTTAAATCACATCATATATAAACTTAAATTATAGGAGTCACACCAATCACTCCTAAACTATAAGAGTCTTCTTTTTTATTAGAACAAAAATTAACCCTAACTCGTTGAAAAATAAAACACATAAAAAATAAAGCTTAGATACATTCGACCTAAACTAAATTAAAGCAAATACATAAATTATACTAATTAAAATTACACAATTTTGGTTTCCTTTGTTTTCCTCACATTCGAATTTTTTTTTTACAGTAATTTGTTTTCAAATATTAAATTTGCTTGTATGCATGATAGATTTAGTTTCTACTACTATAGGATGTAATTTTTTTTTTTTTGTATTATGTTTATTATAGGGTTTGAGCTTCCTTATCCTCCCATATTTAGGTCACGACTGGCTTGTGCTTCCTTACACTTTTACTTTTTATTTAATAAGATTTGTTTAGATTTTATCTTTTTTATTTAAGGATAAATATATTTTATCTGTTTTTATATAATACTCAAAATCTTTTATTTATTCCTAAATTTTTAATTACATTCTATGTGTTCTTAAAAAATTTTGAAATGTAAAGTTTCGATCAAATTTTCAGACCATACATTTTTGATCGAAATACCCTTTACTAAAATATAAAAAAATAAAAATATTTAAAGTCATATGATCTATATTTTTTATTTTTTAAGTCTTTAAAATTTTATTTTAATTTTTTATTTTATTCAGAAGCATTCTAATAAAAAATTTTATTTGATTAAAAAAGTTAACAAAAAATACAGATTGAATATCTTAAATACTTTTCAGCATAATTGAATTGTAATTAGAAATCTAGTGATATAACGACGACGACGACGAGGAGATATTTTTAAAATCAGATGGTCGGATGAACTCAGGAAATCCTCATAAAATGCCCAGCATTGTGACCACGTTTCATTTGAATAGTCCTTGGTTAAGCCATTAGCACAATATTCCATCTTCACTCCGTACTCCATTACCTTTCTCGTTGGTTTTTCATTTATTACATCATCAATGCTCTCTCCCTACTTCATCTAAGTTTGTTGTTCGTCCTGTTCTGGTGCCGGTGGTCAAAGATGGCCTTAAAACTAGGGATGCAAATCAGGAATAGTGGGGCCAGTCATTAATAATTTATGTATAGAGATGGGGAAATGGGGGTAAATCTTCACTCCACTCATTGCTGTTCTTACTCAGCTTTCATGGCATGCCCTACTGGTTTTATGCATGTGATGTGGCCCATCCTTTTATCCCTATTTTACCCATCTTTCTGCAAAGATCGAATCTTTTCTTAAAGTAGTAATTCATATCCACAATCTTTTTGAATTATATGATACTCATTTATTATTCAATTATTCATTCCCTATTTGTAATGATAAATTCATGTAAGGTTACTATGTTTTGCTTTTAATCATTCGTTAAAAAAAAAAAAAATCTTTGTGTTATCAAATACAATATGATATGCTAATTACTTGTATTTTCAATTTCATCAAATTAAGTACAATTTATCAAGATTATATATATAAAAAATCTTTGTGTTATCAAATACAATATGATATGCTAATGGAACTGGTGATGATATCAATAAAAAAAATAAAAGAAAAAATTGATAATAATTATTCAAATAGTGAACAAAACCTACTATACTGAACGAGATAAATTTTTAATCTTGAATAATTATATTTAGTCGACTAAAATTCAAAATAAATACACTCAATTGATTGAAGTGATAATAATCATTTTTTTTTATGGAATTAATTGGTGAAAACAAAGTTACAAATAATAACTAGATGTAATCTAAGGTTATCTCAGAATCAATTACCGAAGCATTACTACTATGACGAAGCATCGCTGCTATTATGAAGGCCCATGGTAGGAAGTAGCATTGCTATTTACGTTGGAGAATCAAGTTTGTCGAATTGGAATGTCATTTAAGGCTGGTTATGCATGGATATATATATAGATACAACAAAGAAAATCTGTCTTTCATTGAAAGGAGACTTGGGATTTGAGAATCTTTTTAACTTGCACTTCAACTCGACATATTTGCAAAAAGACAGGCTTTCTTATCCTCTAACCTTAAAGTCTGCCAATCATATGAAAGATTCACTTAGAAGATGCTGACTCCACGCCAGTGCAGCCAACTAGCTGAAGGTAGAAGTAAAACAAAATTGCATGGGCAAATTGGTAGTTGGCCATTTTATATTTCAAGCAGGCAGCCAGCCCACAGCCTGTCTCTCCATGGTAAGTATCTATCACAAGTTCCAAGGACATGCATTGTTATTACCCTTCAGCCCTCAAATTGCTGACAGCTACATTAGCAATACAGTTTTTTTTTTTTTAAAAAAAAGCTTCCCTTGCCAATTTGTGTATATTGGCAACGAAAGCAACATTTTTGCTTAAGATTCTGTCGGTGTAATATATTTTCTAACGAAAACCAGATATCTAAGTTTTATTTAAAAACCTTCCCTTGCCAATTTGTGGATATTGGCAATGAAAGCAACATTTTTGCTTAGCATTCTGTCGGTGTAATATATATTTTCTAATGAAAACCAGATGTCTAAGTACAAGGCCAGTTGAGGCACTTGGATCTTATACTTGAATAAACAAGCAAAATAGAAAATTCCTTCTCTAGAGATTGTGTTTTTTTAGTTAGATTTTCTGCTCAAGTACTGTCTCTGCTAAGTGGTAACTGTGTCTGTCCATTACTAGAGATGGTGTTTCAACTTCCCACCGAGCTACGCCAAAATCTCTTTCCATTAATGCTGGACAAAATCTCACAATCTTCGAGGAAGAACACCATGTGGAAGCAGTAACTGCATCAACTCCAGGTACCCCACCCCCACCAAATCCTAAACTTTACAGCAGAAATGCAAATTTTTTCGCTATGCTATCATCCAATAGTTGGTGGTTCATTGGAAAGGAAAAACTTTCATAGCAAACTTTTTTAATTTCTTGTTTGATTGGTTCTTTTAAAGTCCTACATTGCTTCTGCAAAAAGGGTTGAGCAAAAATCTTTTTAACCTCTCTTTTTTGTTTATCTCCAAAGATCATTTTATTATTTAACTTCTTGTGTTTTCTCTGTTTCTGCTTATGGGTGGTTTTGAACTTGTTCCAAACCTTAGCATTTACAGATTCCTTTTTAGGGCTTTTGAGTTAATTTATTCAGTATTGTAGCTGTGTCATGTATATATTTAACAAAACCATTAAAAAAAAAAAAATCCAACATTTCATGCTGAACTTGTGCCAACTTATTTTGATCCTTCTCAGGTCACTCTCTGCTCCAACTCTGTTTCGCCTCACTAGCATTGCAGTCAATAGCAAGTTCTCTTGGTAATCAGTATCTCTTACTTGTTGCTTTCAGATGCTTAAAAGCTTCATAATGTCTATATAGTAAGAAGAGTGTTCTTCTATGGGGTATTGTGGCTTGTTTCTGCTGTCATGTCTTGTATGGAGTTTTCTCATTATTGGCACTCATCAATTACAATCCTCACAAACACAAGTGCTTCGTCAGCTAAGGAAGCATTTAGAGTACCCAAGTCAACTAGAAATTTGGAATAATCATGGAATGGATTTATGCTATTTATCTCCATCCGCGCAAGTAAATATGACATGCCAGGACAATGTTGTTACTGAGCTTAGAATTGTGGGAGACAAGCCAGCCAAGGCCAATAACTTTGTGGCATTTTCAATTCCAAATCAAACTTTATCAGGGAGCTTCTCTATGGATTCTTTTGTGACCACTCTTGCAAGACTAACCAGCTTGAGAGTTCTTAGTCTTGTGTCTGTGGGCATTTGGGGCCCCCTTCCAGGCAAAATTCACAGGTTGTCTTCACTTGAATATTTGGATTTGAGTTCAAATGGTCTCTTTGGTTCCATTCCTCCTAAGATTTCTACAATGGTGAAACTTCAAACTCTTAACCTGGATGACAATTTCTTCAATGGCACAGTCCCGAATTCGTTCGAATCATTGTCTAATCTGACAATTCTAAGCCTAAGGAACAACCAGTTGAAAGGTCCATTTCCATCTTCTATTCAGAGAATAACCACTCTTACTGATCTTATTTTGTCTGGCAATGATATATCCGGGAAGTTACCGAATCTCGACAGGTTAAGTAAGCTGAATGTGCTAGATTTGAGTGGAAACAGTTTAGATTCTGATCTACCTTCAATGCCTAAAGGGTTGATCATGGTTTTCGTGAGCAACAACTCCTTGTCAGGTGAGATTCCAAGGCAATATAGCCAGCTAAGTCAGCTTCAGCATTTTGATATGTCATTCAATGAACTAAGTGGGAAAATTCCTGCTTCCCTACTCTCATTACCCAACATCAGCTACTTGAATTTGGCATCAAATATGTTGAGTGGTTCGCTTCCAGACCATCTAAACTGTGGAAGCAAACTTCAGTTTGTCGATGTATCTAATAACAGGTTAACTGGTGGATTGCCTTATTGTTTGAGTACTGAATCAGGAAATAGAGTGGTAAAGTTTGGTGGAAATTGCTTATCTGTTGATTTACATAATCAGCATGCAGAATCATCTTGTATAGATGTTCCTGTAAAAAGGAGACAGTCTGGAGCCAAAAATATTATAATATTAGTTGGTTTGATTGCTGGTATACTTGTCGTTATAGCTCTTCTGGCTTTTTGCCTTCTCATGGTGTGCAAGAGGTATTGCTCACAAGGGATATCGGAGCAGCATTTGTTGCACAAAGCAGCACAAGAGAAATCAGCGGCAGGATTCTCCTCTGAGATCCTCTCTAATGCAAGTAGGTCCTCCTCTAAAAACACTCAGAGTAGACATTGCAGAAACTTGGCTTTACTTTGCAGAATTTAGTCCAACAAGCTCTTCTGCGTTTGTCTGAATTCTAAAATATATTGCTTAAAGGTGATTGCAATCATTTTTACTTTGCTCTTCAGGGTTTATTTCAGAAGCTGCGAAATTGGGTATACAAGGTCTCCCACCATGCCGGTCATTTACAATAGCAGAGTTAAAGGAAGCAACAAACAACTTTAATAACTCTGCCATTTTGGGCGATGGTTCTTACGGGAAGGTATAGCATCTAAAACTTCCAAATTACTGATTTTTTTATGAATGTTTTCAATAAAAATCACAATGGTGATTCCCTAGGTCTTATAAAGCTGTTATTCACTATGTTGTAACCTTAATGGTGCGGCATATCATAGGATTTACTAGGATTAATCAAGGAGGTATAGGAAAAATGAAGTAGAGAAATTAATAGCTACCTTTCATGCTACAGTTTTGGTCAATGTGCTCAATTGAGTTCCTCAGTCTTGTGCAAGGCATGATGCTCTAAGTGAGGAGCTTGAATTTCTAATAATTCACACGAAATATGTGTTTTCTCATTCCACAGACCTCATTTCTGTGGCTACTTTCCAGTTTCCAAGTATTGGTTTTGACATATATGTAGCTGCTAATGCTATGCATGCTATTTGTGACAGTTGATGTGAAATTAAAGTGAAAAACTTAATTAACCGATCTGCCTATACCCTATATAAATGTATACATCATGCATATTTAAGTGTATTTGGTTACTATAGCAATCAAGATCATATCCCCTGACCACTGGAACTTTTATTAACATCATTCCAGATCATTTTTAATCGTTTTTCTCCTTTGTTTTCTCAGCTTTACAAAGGAACATTAGAGAATGGAACCCAGGTTGCTATAAGGTGCGTACCTTCATCAAAGAAATTTTCGATGCGAAATCTTAAACTCAGGCTGGATTTGCTTGCAAAGCTTCGCCACCCACATCTGGTTTGCCTTTTGGGGCACTGCATTGATGGTGGGGGACGAGATGATTACAGAGTGAACAAAGTTTTCCTTGTATATGAATATGTTTCCAACGGCAACTTCAGAGCTCATCTCTCTGGTAATTTTTGGATAAAATTTTAAGCAATCTTCTTGGAAGTGATTGGTTCTCGTAAACGATTTTTAAATTATGATATCCATGCACATCATGCAAACATAGAGGAAGCTTGACTTCCCTTTTGACCCCATTTTGACTTTTGTAGCACCCCATCCTCGCTGGTTACTCTTATTTACAACTACAAATCTTTTTAGAGTTGCTTAGCCAGTCTTTTTGTGGTTCTTTATATGTTGTGGCTATCATAAACTTGTAAATTCTAAGTGTGGCTCTATTGTATGTGTAGAGGACAATCCTGGAAAGGTTCTAAATTGGTCAGAGAGATTGGCAGTGCTAATTAGTGTTGCAAAGGCTATTCACTTTTTGCATACCGGAGTTATTCCTGGTTTCTTTAACAATCGATTGAAGGCAAATAATATCCTGCTTAATGAGTATGGGATAGCAAAATTGAGTGACTATGGGCTTTCCATCATCTCTGAAGCAACTGGAAATTCTGGGGTAAGCTCCTCAATTATAGATCAAATGGCCAGCCTTGCAATAAAATTCTTGCCTGGGTGGTTTATAAGTCTGTGACTTGGGATTTATGTTCTGCAGGAAATTGGAGAAGGCCCTAAATCATGGTAAGAATTTTCTATTATCTACAATATCATCATGGTATGATCCACTAGGATTCTGATTCAAATCATTAAGTTCAGAAATAACGAAGTGGTTTGAACTAACTTGACCGTAAACAAATTATAAATTTATATTCAATGCTGCCGATGATAAACCCCATAATGAAATTTTACAATAGTCATTAACCTTGATGTAATTATACCATGCATAGATAATTACCTATATGTAATCCATTTTTTCAGGCAAATGGCAAGATTAGAGGATGATGTTTGTAGCTTTGGCTTCATACTACTCGAATCACTCGTTGGCCCTTCAGTATCGGCCAAAAGAGACATGCTGCTTCTTGATGAATTGGTAGGTGCAGCAACTCTGAATTAGAGCAGATGCTGCTTTGATGGTTTGCAATTGATGACAATATATTAGAAATTGACCTCGATAATATGCCTTTTTTTTTCAGGCATCTTGTGACAGCCAAGAGGGACGTCAAAAATTGTTAAGCCCAATCGTGCTGGCCACATGCTCACAAGAATCTTTATCAATTGTGATCACCATAACAAACAAATGCATTTGTTCAGAATCATGGAGTCGTCCGTCATTTGAGGACATTCTTTGGAACTTGCAGTATGCAGATCAGGTCCAGGCAACAGCAGACAGTGAACAGCTTCAGCTTCGATGAGTTGAAAATCGGTTGCTTCAAGAAATTGCCTTCCCGTCTTTTCATCCTGGAAAAGTTAGTAAATCATCGAAGTAACTGTTATAGCACTAGTTTGAAGCAGTTTGACTCAATTTGAGCATCCACAATTGCAATATTTATCATCACTTTTTCCTACTTTCAAGAAGATATTAGATTGTATCCGTTGTAAAGACTGACCAATGATAAATTAGCAAGGAAGAAATTTACTTGTGAGATGGCGATCATATCTCATTCTTGCTGCTTTACTATTGTTGGAAAGAGCTGCAACAAATATCAATAATTTTGGAAAAAAATTACAGTATTCAAAGAGTAACTATCAAATATTTCATTCAGAGATGGGTATCATGGGTTGAAAGCTGATGTATACTGCCCTCATATGCCTCATGGCAAACAATTAGCCGATTATCCAAGAGCTGTACTATCTGTGGCTTTACAACAATTGAGCTCTGCTAAATTTAACAATTATGAGATTCATGGGGGCATATGTTCAGATGGAGATCGACTGTCCATAGCACAGCTATTGGATAATACTCTGCTTATCTCCCCTAGGGTTTCATTCTATAGTTGGGGCGGGAATGCTCTTTTCTAGCATACTTCAGGAACTCCATGCAAAGTTAGAAACCAAACCAGCGATGATACCGAACATATCCATGATTCTACAGCAATATTGATCTTCTCATATTGTAGTGCAAGACTATATTACAGACTTGAATCATCAAAACTTCTTCAGTACTTTCAATTAGGAAGCACAAGAGTATTAAGGAAACTTGCATTTCACATTTCATTCTCGCTATAGAAATTTCCTCCTAGTTAAGCTATTAACAGTAAAGTGGACACATCAACATTAAATGGGTGATAAGAATTTTAGAGCAAGCTAGATAATGCGGTCAGTTTCTTTGAAGAGCACACAGCATTTGTGTTGTAGATGCAATGCAGCCAACAGCCCTTGCCAATTCTCTGCAGGTGCACTGCCTACTTGAAAGTCAAGAAGCTTTTTCTGCTTTTGGTAATAATCTTCTAGTGGCTTGCTCTGTGGAGACAACCGAAAAATTAATGATAAAAAAAAAAAAAAATCCCACTTTCTGCATATCTAGAAAATAAGCGGCAAACTGTACTGATTCTATCAGTAAGATCTATCACGTCACATATAAAGTTCTAAACTGTAAGCGCAATAGAACAAGAATCAAGAACTCCGTTTCAAGGGGAAACTATACATTCACAAAAGACAGAGAAATGATATATAAATAAGGGTTTTGAGTTTACAGAGATTGGACAAGTGAAAAATCTCCAGCAAAACATTAAGGGAAAGTAAATACCTCATTTGACATTTTTTGTCCATGTGTTTGAGTGCGAGTTGTCAGTTTTCCAAACAAAGGAATACCATGACATAGGAACAAATCAACAAATTGACAAGGAAGATAAAAGCACAGCTATTACCTGTTCAGCGTAGACTTGGAGCTTCTCTTTCCAGGAACCTTCTGCAACGGCAGTGCAAGAGTGTTCAATAAGGTAATATTTAAAACATGGTAGTCGCTCACTTCACAAGATTTGGGAAAAGACACTACCTTGTTGGTGTTTCACCAAGTAATCATCAGTGCATCTAAAATTCACGACCAAATCAATCTCCACAAGTTGATCAATAATCTCCTACGATGAAAATATATCAGATAAATCAGTACCAGGTAGTATTGACTCCAGCATATTTAAACTTAAGAAGCAGCAATCCAACTAAAAACAAAATCCCAGCAAGCACAAAAGACCAGAATACTAAAGTCAACAACAAAAATAAATATTTCCTCTATGCCAAAAAAAAGAAAAGAAAAACTCCAAGAAAAAGGTACTTATTAGCATGCAAATGACAAACAATGTCAAGTAAATTATCCTTTAATACAAGGACGGGGTTGGCATGTAATGTAGTCATGAGGGGGCTCACCCTCTCCCCCGAAATTTTCAACTATCCAATGTTGCTAATCTTAATATTGGCCAATCAAAAAATGAAGTGTTTTCTCTTTAAAGTCCCATAGTATCCTAATTTTCACGAATCATTGAAAAGAATCCAATTTTTGACAACGAGGACTTACAGCTTGTAACTGTGAACGAGGAATTCCATCCAGAATAAAACCAGTTTCACCTTTGTAATACCCATCTTCCAACCTCTTCGATAAGAGGCCAAAAATTATATCCTCTGGAACAAGCATCCGACGATTCACAGCATTTGCAATCTACACTCAACAAGCAACTAAAGATGAGAGCTTACCACTGTCACATCTCCATTAAAATAAAAAATATACTATTTATCAAAATACTGTTCACTAAAATCAGCATTCTTCTACGGCACCATTTCTACCAATTTCCTTTATCCAACTCTCGATTTTAATACTAAGGATAAGCAGTTTCACATTTTCAATTCACCAATTGTTATCAATGTAAATCAAATTTGTCATTTTATATATTAATTTTTCACATCCATATCTTAATCAAGAAATCTTGATTCTTGCCAGGAATATATATATATAACATAAAAGCCGAAATACTTTACATTAATTTAAGGAATCCTCAAATTCAAAAGCATCAAAGAGGAAATTTTTTATTTATTTAATTAATTTATTTGGAGACCTGTTTATAGAGAGAAGAGCAAGGGTTAAGTTCTTGACGGGCGAGACTAGCCATGGAAATGCACGGGACTTCCAGAAGCTTCGAGAGAGTCTCTGCATACACGCGCTTCTTCGCGCGTGGACTTCCTATAAACGCCCACTGCACTCCTCTTCTTGGAACCGAATTTTCCGGGTCAGTCATGGCGCCAAGCCCATTGCGTCGGGGCGGCTCGTTGTAGTAGTAGTAGTAGTAGTCGGGGTCCAGCTGCGCCTGAGCTGCTGCACCCGCAGTGGTGATGAGTCTGCTCAAAGTGACGTTAAACAGGCGGTAGAGAGGCGCCGCCGCCGCTTTAGCATTGGTGAGATGGCGGCCCAGCGCGATCATGTCGGAGGAGAATGTGTTTTAAGAGAGTGCAAAGTGGAGAGACTGAAAATTGATGCATCAAATGATAGTCGTTCTGCCTGCCACGTCATTATGTGCCCGCGCCTCCCGCAAAAAAAAAAAAAAAAAACGATTTTTTTTGTCGTAGTAGATATTTTCGTATTTTGAATTGAGATTTTTTTATTTTATTTGTTAAATTGTAAAAAAGTGCTTGTGCTGGACGGACACGTGTACGTTTCCTATCCACCTGGACGGAAACCAAAAAGCTGCGTATTTTTCATAGGAGCTGAATCCATGAACTAGCTAGCTTGCCATAAATTCCAAACGCAGCGAGTAGAGCATAATTGGAAGGAAACAAATACACAAAAACAGGAATGAGAGCTTCCTTATTTTCTCTATCGATTCACCAATCAATTATAAGCAATTAAGAATTGGTGATCCAAGTTTTCCATATGATCATGAGCTCTGGCAAAAAAATTTATTAAAATAAGAGAGCTCATAATTTCATTTCTATATTTTTCCTACTAATTTCTACTTCAAAATCATGGAAGATTAACTAGGAGATTGTGATGTCTTCTCTTCTTGCGGTGGGGGACTAATTTCGATCTTGAGCTTCTTGCTCTTACCGGTAGTTGGTGAATCGTTTTCGGTAGCTAATAACAATCGAATCTGCATCAAGTCCAGCAAACGAGACTGCAAATGCCTGTTCATTTCCACGACATGATTTGTCATTCTTCTAGCCCACGTCCGATGGTCCATGCTTGTTTCTACCTTCATTTGCATCGCAGCAGGTGTCTGTCCTTGCTGCTTACATTTCAAAGCAGAGAAATAATTAAGAACACATCTTATGCTACTTGTACATATCGAAGAACATTAAAGAAATAACGAAAACAAAACTACTTTTAGCAGATTTTTTTGTCTATTTCTGCAATCTTTTTGCTTTTAGCTTAGTGCATGCTTAATGTATGTTAATGCATCTTTTTTTCATTTCATTATATATGCATGCAAGTAACAAGCAGCACGAGCATACTAGATAGGAGAGAAAGAGACCTGCATCTCAAATATTTGCCGATCCAATAAATTGGTTATTCCGAAATCTACAGAACTCTGATGACCCTTGGGGGAAGAACATGTGTGAAGGAGAGTGAGAATTCCATTAGATGAGTTGGCTGGCTGAGGACACTTATCGAGCAATGAAACACGAAACTGATTGGAAACTCTTCGATGGTTTGATGCAGAATGCAGCGAAGACCGTGGAATCACTACAAGATTGGTTACTGCCCCTGCTCACAGATGAAAACAATTTATATTGTTGTTTGAAAAAGCACAAGATCACAAATTTCAAAATTGTGACACTTTGCAAGTCAAACGTCGAATGAAAAACAAGAAACTTCTAATCCATATCACTCAACCAGAATGCCGAGCAAGATGAAAGGCTTTTCATTCTCTTTTAGATCGTCCTCGACATAGTTGGTAACATAACAGAACAATAACAAAAAACAACAAAGAGTTCTTGAAATTGAGAAAGCAAGGGTCATGACTCATGCAAGCTTACCTTTTTTATGGTTAAATCTTCGTATGATCACTTGACTAATGACATCCCAGAGACAGACAGTGCAGTCCTCGGAAGCTGATATCAGACCCACTGAACTGAAAGTCAATGCTGTTATAGATCCACTGCATTGAGGGGGCCAGGAACTTTTTAGAGTCATTCTATAGAACTATCAGATGAATATTTGGCCAAGATATGAGAGGAATCATGCTCAAAAGACTAAATAAATACGTGAAATATCTATCCACCATTTCATGTGAAGGTAACTTCGGTAAGTCTGTCATCCTCGCAAATTTCAGATAAGTTTTTGATGTTTAATCAGTCTGACAATTCAACTGCACCCTTCAAAAACTTGATACAATTGGAATGTTCAATTAGTTCTAAAACCTGATATTGTTAATTAGAAACAGTAAGTTCACAGGTTTAAGCTACTCAGATTTTCTATTGTTTCCCCCACCTACTATTCCTATTATATTGGGGGAATTTATTCTTCAACAAATTTCAGGAAACTTTATTCATCATACATTACTTGTGTCCTTTTAGCGCAACTGGTTCCTCTCTGGCAACAGCAAAAGGATGCTCCGGGAGTCCAATATCAAGAACACTAACAAATATTCTTCCATCCATGCTTCCAGCGAACAGGAGCTGCTCTGCTGGATTAATGATGATTGCAGTTATCCCTAGCGGATATTCTTGAGTTTGTATAAGCCTACCCGAGACCAAGTCCCAAGCCTACAAAAGGCGAAATTACATGCTGTCCTGACCATGAGAATTTTCAATACCAATTACATATGAATTGGAAAATGAAGCTAACACATGTATAAGAACCTTGCATGTAGCATCAAGAGAACTTGATATAAAAGTTGAGTTTGCAATGCCTGATGTTGTCAACAGACCGGTGATGGAGGATGCATGCTCCAATGAGTAGTGCAACAATGAACATGAGCTTCCAAAATCTTCTGTATCTAGCAAGCTTCCATCAATTTGATAATCAGTATAATGAATAAATCATTCATATGCTTTGAGACTTTGGTCTTCAAACTTTTTCTACAAGTGATTAAAGGAATTGACAATAGCAATTCCATCTTTACCTAACCACAGACCACACGCAGACCACTCCGTCTTCTGAACCAGAAATAAGAAGAGAGTCATCATTGGAAAAAATCAAGCATTTCAAACACTTACGATGGGCATGCCAGGTTTTCAGTAATCTTCCATCTGCAACCTACCAATATATAACAATCTTATTAGAATCTATTATTCAGGATTGGGATAGTATTTATTTAAATCACTGCATGCCTATATGAAGTCCAAGCGATAACTTTTACCAAAAAGTTCCAACAAAAGAAAAACAAGAATAAATAATGTTTATATGGAAAATGAGAAATAACGTAGTCTACATAATTTTTAGAGAAACTAGTCATACGAAACAGAGTTTTGACTTCTTCACGAGATGGAACGTATTTGGTTTATAAGAGAAAATAAGTGAGCTCCTTCATTTTTCTTCCTTTTCCTCTTCTCCCCCTCATTCAAAATTACAAGCAAGTGCTTAACTAGTAACATACCTCCCAAAGGTAAGCATTTCCAGATGGAGAACCGGCAGCAAGAAACAGACCATCCTTGGTGCAAGTAAGCGGCCCAATGGCTTCAAGTGGGTAGCTTCGAAGAGGTTGTTGAGGCTGAAACATAATCACAGCACAAAAAGAGCCAGATTTTCATAGCAATTCAGAATCTCTGACTTGGTTTCATGAACTTTTGCCCATTTTTCAATATATAATTGGCCAATCAGCAAAAAAAAAGCAAAATCTCCCAAAAAGCCTTTGCAGAAATAGGTTCATTAAAAAAAAAAACCGAATGCCATGCTTTGTCACTTTAATTAATCACATGAGTATCTTAGCAATTCTAACCAGAAATTTATTACATCTAATAGCTAAGAAAGGAATGTAATTGAAGTATAAAAAACTTATAGTAATATATATTATCTGCTTTATGCAATTTCAATTGTTTGTCTGAAGAAGGAAATTGAGGAAATTATAACAGAGATGAAAACTTATATGGAAAATCTAAGTTATCATAATCCAATTTTTTTTTCCCCCTCAAAACCCATTTCAGGTTTCCAACTGTCCTGCTTAATACTTGATGGGCTCTAGCTGCTAAATATGAAAAAGAACCTACAGGAGCCCCAGTAAAACAAAAGCTTCAGTAACTAAAAAGGGGAAAATTGGGAGAAATATATATTAAGTGAGCTTGATTCATCCCAGTTGTGTAGATGATACCAATTACCACAAGGAAGATTTAGGACAAAAAGAGTTTGAGGTTTCGTTACCTTATTGATTGACCAAGTGAAGATAGCCCCACCACCGACAGACCCATGTTTGTTAACCTGAGAAGCCACAAGAAACTGGTCTCTTAGACACAACAAGCCATGAAGAGGAGAAGCACAAGTTGGTATATGCATAATGCGATCTCCTGTTTCCATATCCCATATCGCTATCCCTGTCCCCATATTCCTATCACTACACACCACCAAAACTTCATTTCCATTTCCATTTCCCTTTCCCATCTCTCTTTCTCTCAGCACTCACAATATCATTAACACATGATATAAACATGTACAAGTTTATATGAAGAGAATATGGTGGTTCCTGGTGAAGCTATGCATGCAAAGGGTTTCTTTAAAGGACGGGCATGGGTTGATTGACGCATGGCATCCAGGGGAGGGAAAGAGACAAAGGTCGTTGGGCATGGTTGCCTCTTTTGGTAATATATTTGAGTATAATTGCAGTGAGTGAGTAAGGTGGGTCAGTTGTTATGCCAATTGCCAAAAGGATTACATGCAACTAATAGACTTGTTAGGTTTTACCAATGTTGACGAGACATGTCATGGGGAGTGGGGTTAATTGGTTAAAAGAGAAGGACAAAATGTTGGTGGCGCGGTTTCAGTCGCGAACGAGATAGTTATGGATAATGGATGTGTGTGAATGAATTGGGGTTGTAGCGTTAAATTCTGAGTTAGGGATTTTGTAAGCATTGGAAAATCAAACAGAGAAATTTGTTGAATAGAAATTTAGAATGTAAATAATACTACAATTTTTTAGCCACATAAATTAAGAATTTTGTTGAAATAAAGAAAGAAAATAGGTTGTAACAACTCCAACCTAAAAGAGGTTAAAAATGCTATCGACTAGAGACGAATATATAGTACCCGTTAGCCTCACCAAATTTTTTTTAAAAAATAAAATATACATATATATATATATATACATATTTAATTTAAAGGAAGAAGGAATAGTCAAAACTATTTTACCCTCATATGCATGCATAGATAAATGTGCAAGACCCCATTAAAAACTATACATATATAATTTAGAAGAAGAGACAGGATTCAAACTTTTGCCCATATGCCACATCCATGTGCATGTCTTTCTTTTCTTTTCTAGGGGTCTTGACTTTCTTCTTCTTTCTTTTTCACCTGTACCTTTTCATCTTTCGTTTTTCACTCTCTCTTCTATCTTCTTATTCTACAACTTTTATTTATTTCTTTATTTCTTTTTTTTCCAAGTCAAGAGCTTATATCTTTATTATTGAAAAATCAAGTGAAGTGAAAATTGGACTTTTGGATCTCAATAGAAAATTAGGTTAGTTTCTTTTTTTTTTTTTTTTTGTTTCTCAATTATTTATTTTTAATTTTTTATCATGTAATATATATTAATATATGTATATGTATTTTTGATACCTAACTTCTATAATATTAACATAGAGAAACATTGAGGAGCACATTACCCATAGAATCAAAGTGGGGTGAGTAAATTGATATGTAATTGAAATCCTTGTTAGTTTAAAGGATCAATTTAGAATAATTGTCTTTTTGGAAGGTGAAGATGACATGTTTGAGAATAGGGAGGATCATGATTCATGTGAATTTTATGATTAGATTTGGCCATATTTCCATAATTATGTAAGGGTAATTAATTATAGTTGTCATGATGAACTTGGCTCATGATTCATAAATAAATAAAAAGAATAAATTGAGATGTTGCATTAATTATATATGTTGGCTTGGTTTTCTTTTGAAATCTACAATTAATGAATTAAACCCATCATTTTTAGGCTCTAATTATTTAGAGGAAAAAAATATATAATGAAAGTTAGAAAGTATATAAAATTTTACTGCTATAATTATAAAAGGTGCTTGCCTAATAACCATTCTATTAATTTGTTACTCTTACCGTCTTACATTGCTATTTCAACTTATTGTTTTGTGCTATATGAGATTGATGTGGTAGTATTTCAATTCATTTAATTTTTAATTTGGTTCAAATTAATTATTAACTTCCATGGTGCTATTAAGATTGTGCCAATATATATTATTCTTTTGTACCCATATATGATATATATTATTCTTTTGAACTCATTATTGAATTATTTTTATATGATGTAGTTATGGAGAAATTTTTTAAAAGAAAACAAATTATCAAGGAACCATCAAGCGACAATAGTGCTAGTACAAGAGAAGAACAAAGTTCTCTCAAACAATTGCATTTACAAATTGATTTGGATGATTTATGCTCGGATCTTGGATTAAGAAAACAAATTTTAGATTATCATCCAAATGAATAAGATAGAATTCGAAGAGCTTATTTGCAAAAAAGTCCATGTCAACCTCATGAACACGATTTCCCACAAAGAAGGATTGGAAAGATGTTAAAGAGATTTGTTCCTTCTTGGTTTAAGGAGTATAAAACCTGGTTGGAGTATAGTATAGCTAAAGATGCTACCTTTTGTCTATGTTACTATCTTTATGGAGTTGATATTAGAGAGAAGGCAAATGATGATTATTTTACTATTGAAGGCTTTACTAATTGGAAAAAGAAAGAAAGATTTCAAATTCATGTTGGAAGCCATAATAGTGCTCACAGTGAAGCTTGAAGGAAATGTCAAAATCTAATGAATAAAAAACAACATATTAATGTCATTTTTTAGGCTCAATCAAATCAAGCTCGAAGAGATTATCGAATTCATCTAAATGTGACAATTGATTGCATTTGATTTCTTTTACGTCAAAGATTAGCTTTTCGTGGCAATGATGAATAAAAAAATTTCGATAATCAAGGTAATTTTCTAGAACTTTTACACTTTGTTGCTGATCATAATGAAGTCATAAAGAATGTGGTTTTAGAAAATGCTCATGGTAATGTCAAACTTGTTGCTTCGAGATCCAAAAGGATATTATGCATGCCGCTTTAATTGAAACCGAGTAAAGCCATCATCGGTGATCTTTAAGATGATTTATTTGCTATATTAATTGATGAGTCTCGAGATATATCATTGAAAGAAAAAATGACAATTTTGTTACGATATGTAGATGCTTAAAGGATGTGTAATTGAATATTTTTTTTGCTATTATGCATTTAGTGACACTTCGACTCTCTCACTTAAGTTGGCAATTCAAGCATTATTCTCTAAACATTCTTTGAGTTTGTCTTGTTTGCACCGTCAAGGATATGATGGGGCTAGCAACATGCAAGGTGAATTTAATGGCTTAAAGGCATTGATCATGAAAGAAAATCCAATCGCATTTTATGTTCATTGTTTTGCTCATCGATTATAATTAGCTCTTATTGCTGTGGCAAAAAATCATGCTCGGATTGCTTTGTTATTCAACACTATTTCTAATTTATCAAATGTTGCTAGAGCTTCATGTAAAAGAAAATATCTTCTTTGTGAAAAATAATATCGCAAGGTTGTTGAAGCACTTCAAAGTGGTGAAAATCAAAGTGGCGAGGGTTTAAATCAAGAAAATTCTCTTCAACAAGCAAGTGACACTCGATGGGGTTCGTGTTATGGATCATTGGTGAATCTTATTGTTATGTTTGCATCCGTAGTTGGTGCTTGAGATAATTCAGAATGAAGGTAAAAAATCAAGACAAAATGGTGAAGCGTATGCCCTTCTTAATTTAATATAGTCTTTTGAGTTTGTTTTCAACTTGCGTTTGATGAAAAAAAATATTGGGGATTACAAATGAGTTATCCTAATCATTACAAATAAAAGATCAAGACATTAGCAATGCAATGGCTTTAGTTAATGTGTCAAAGAAGCGACTTCAAATGATGAGAAATAGTGGATGGACATCTTTACTCTCCGAGGCATCTTCTTTTTGTGATGTTCATGGTATTGTTGTTCCAAGAATGGATGATATGTTTATTATTCCAGGGAGGCCTTGAAGAAATGCTCAAAAAGTGGCAAACTTGCATCATTACCAAGTTGATTTATTTTATACTATAATTGACATGCAACTTCAAGAGTTGAACAATCAATTCACGAAGGTGAACACATAAATTCTTCTTTGTGTGGCTTGTTTAAATCCTATTGATCCTTTTTAAGCTTTCGAGAAGAAGAAACTCCTTCATCTTGCCATATTTTATCCATCTGATTTTTCTAAGGTGGATCTTGTTAAACTTGAAGATTAACTTGAGAATTATATCATTGATGTGAGATCTAATGGAAAATTTTTTTATCTTAAAAGGATTGGAGATCTTGCTAAAAAGCTAGTTGAAACAAAGAAGAATGAACTATATCCTTTAGTTTATTTGCTTTTGAAACTAGCTTTGATTTTACTAGTGGTTACTGCTTTTGTAAAGAGGGTTTTTTTCTGCAATGAAGATAATAAAGACTCGACTCGCAATCTCTTAGGAGATGCTTTGTCTGAATGATTGTTTGGTTACATATATTGAGAGAGAGATATTTAATAGCATCGATAATAAAAATATTATTCAAAGATTTCAAAACATGAAATCTTGTCATGAGCAATTGTAATTTTATGATATGTTATAAAAGATTATAATTGTGTCATTGATTTTTGTCTAAATTTATAATTTATAATTTGCCCCTACTGAAAAATATTTCTAGATTTTTCCTTGCTATCGACAATATGTCACACTTATCGTCCAATGAATGCAATACACTAAGCCGCATGTCATTTATCATGTCGTATAAAGCATAACGAAATTAAAACCATTTCATTAATGTTTTAAACTTATTTACACATTAACTTTTATCATTATTTAGTCTTTAATTATAAACCAATATTTATAGTACACACTTGGCAAACTCAGCTCGCTCCCCACAACATCTTCAACTTCATACCATGTCATCATGCATCATTAGCTCACTTACACACCATAAGATAAATTACAAGCTAATTCTCGGTAAGTGTAATCATGCATGAATGCAAGTAAATCCATTATTCATGAGGCTAAAATACGTTTTCCGTCATCCTTACAAAGAATATATACGAGATCATTTTCTTGATATGCCCTATTTATATATACAAAAAGTATACATTAGATCATTCTCTTTGTATGCCATATTACCCTCTATGAACATACTAAGAATATGCACCGTTAGAGCATATATCCCATAATGAATAGTTAAATCAATGATGAATGATATATAAAGTTGAGAAGGAACCATCCACCATAAGACTTAAGTCTTTTGGATGAAACCCAATCTCAACTATCTAATTTTATATGGTATCGTAGTCTCAAAGAGGTCGTTGCTCG